GGAGCCCATATAACCAATCAAAACTTGAACGGGAGCGCTATTTTTAAATATCCTGGACCCCTCTGCTGCTATGCTGCTGCTCTGCTGCTGCTCTGCTGCTGCTGCTGCTTTGCTGCTGCTACTGCTGTTGCTCTCTGCTGCTGGTGCGTTCTGCTGCTGTTACTGCTTTGCTGCTGCTCTGCGTCTGCGCTCTGCTGCTGCTCTGCTGCTCTGCGCTCTGCTGCTGCTCTGCGCTCTGCTGCTGCTCTGCTGCTGCTCTGCTGTTGCTCTGCTGCTGCTGCTCTGCTGGCGCTGTGCTCTGCTGCAGTTGCTGCTGCTGCTCCTCCTGCTCCTGCTCCTCCTCGTCCTCCTCGTCCCCCTCGTCCTCCTCGTCCTCGTCCTCGTCGTCCTCCTCGTCCTCCTCCTCTTCGTCCTCTTCCTCCTCCTCCTCCTCCTCGCCCTCCTTGTGAAGCCGAAGCCGGAGTCATTCTAATTATAGATGATTGAAGCCGAAAAGTTATAATATGCCAAAAAGGTATTATAAGTATAGATGATTGAAGCAAAAGAGTTATAATATGCTAATAAGGTATTATGATATGCTAAACAACAAAATGGTACAATATGCAAAAAAAGTATTATAATATGACAAATTCAGGGGGTCAAAATCCAGAGGGCCATCATCAGAGCATATGATTTCGGGATCTCTTGAGTCCTTGCGACCAGAAGCCCAACGCCGTCCAACGGCCACACGGGCATAATGAGGTGGCTGCTAGGCAAATCGAGGCTCTCGACCGAGATGCTTTTCGGTTTTATGGTCAGACTTTCAACATTGTTTGAACAGCGAGGGTCAGTTTCGTGGCCCCATAGGGAGCTCCACCGAAGCTCTCAGTGGCTGCGCCCGCATGCCGCCCCCACGCCCATTTCGGTAGTAGCGCGGTGCACTCTTGCTTCCTTTCGCTTCTTGACCGCGCGCCCCCTGGTCTCGTTTCTGCCGCTGCTGACTTGCCCATGATATCTGTGCGGTGTCTCCGTAACCTCTTCTTGCGTGTCCAGGAACAGGTCGCATGATGCGCTGATGCTGATGTGGTGGCTCGCCCCGCTGAGCCTCCTCCTCCGCCAGTCACCTCCTGCCCGCGCTGCCTTGTGCCTCGTGCATGCAATGGCGCGGTGCCTATGAGAAGAGGGAGCTAGTTTGCGTGCCCCCCTCCTTCGTCTCATATCCTGCGCGGCACTCGCAGCTGCATATGGTTGGGTCCTTCGTCAGGCTAAGTTTTAATCTTAGTGTTACGCGTACTCTTATTCTTACGGCTACTACTTATATTTCTGGTGGTTGTAGTAGTACCACTACGAACACGAATACGACGATTCTTCTTCTTCTTCCTACTACTACTACTACTACTACTACTACTACTACTACTAGCACTACTTATCCTTATGGTACTATTTCTACGGCGGTTATGGTTTTTATTATTACTACTACTACGACTGCTACTGTTACTACTACGACTGATACTATTATTTCTATTTCTCCTACTACTACGATTGTTACCACTATTACTACTACTACTACCACTATTACTACTACTACTACTACTACTACTACTACTACCACTACTACTACCATACTTTACTACACTACACTAAACTACAACAACAACTACTACTACTATTACTACTACTACGACCCCGACGATCACGACGACGACGACGACGACTGCGACGACGACGACGACGACGACAACGACGACTACTACTACTACTACGGCTACTCCTACTACAGCTACTGCTACTACTACTACTACTACTACTACTACTACTACTACTACTACTACTACTACTACTACTACTACTACTACTACTACTACTACTACTACTACTACTACTACTACTGTACTACTACTGCTACTACTACTACTACTACTACTACTACTACTACTACCACCACCACCACCACCACCTACTACTACTAACTACTACTACTTCTACTACTTACTACTACTACTACTACTACTACTACTACGCACTACTACTACTACTGCTACTGCTAACTGCTACTGCTACTGCGCTACTACTACTGCTACTACTACTACTACTACTACTACTACTACTACTACTACTACTACTACTACTACTACTACTACTACTACTACTACTACTACTACTACTACTACTACTACTACTACTACTACTACTACTACTACTACTACTACTACTACTACTACTACTACTACTACTACTACTGTTAGCATACCATTACTACTACGACCCACGACTTCCCACGACGTGTCGCGACGTCGGAGGTCCACGCGCCAAGGACGTCCACCGCGACAGCAAGGCCGAACGCCGACTTGGAGACGAATTGCCGAACCTTCTCGACGGTCGGCACTCAGGATCAACAGCTCGCTTGGTTGCGAGGTCCATGTGCAATTTGACCGCTTTCGTATCTGCTTAGGAAAAGATGCTTTCAATGAGGACGGACTGTCGCAGGTCGCGCGACCAAGGTCGTCGCGACCAGCGGTGGTCCGTCCCTATTGGCCCCCGAGACAGCCGAGTGCGAGAGGTGCTTGCTGAACGAACAGAGGTAGCAAGCAGAAGTGCTGGAGGCCGCTGAGGGGTGGAGGATTGCATGGGTGCAGACTTCATTGGGCGTGACCCTCATGGGCGTAGCAAGCGCTGCGCGAAGAGCCTCGGTAAACACCCTCGCTGCCGACATCGCCGTTTCCTTGGGATTTCCCAGAGTTAATGCGCGCTTCGTGACTGGCACGGGAGTGGCAGCTTTCCCATGGCAGTTTTGGGCGGCATGGGTGGCGCGCCCGCGTGACAAGCAACTGCGGCCTTCGAATGGTGACCCTGGCGCGCCCGCGTGAAGACCCGGGTGTTACGAGTTGGCTTGAAGTTATTGTAGATCCCCTGCGGTGGCGAGAAACTTCCATGCCAGCCGCGCCCCTCGACCCTGCGACGGACAGAGGCTGCGCTCAGGGACCACCCCCTGCGCACCCCCTGCGGTGTCGGATCTATGCCACGCCTGCCACGCCGCGCGACCCTGTGACAGATCGAGACCGCGCTCAGGACTCCCCCTCCTGCGCACACCTTGCGATGTCGAGAAAGTTCCACCCTTCCCACGCCCTCCAACTTTTTGACGGATAGAGGCAGCGTTCAGGGACCACCCATTGCGCACCCCCTGCGGTGTCGTAGACATGCCACGCTTGCCACGCCCCGCGACCCGTGACGGATCGAGACCGCGTTCAGGAACCACCCCCTACGCACCCCGTGCGGTGTCGAGAAATGCCACGCCTCCCACACCCCGCAACCTTGTGACGGATAGAGACCGGGCTGAGGGACCACCCGCCTGCGCACCCCCTCTGCGGTGTCGAGGAAGTGTCATTCTTGCCGCGCCAAGTGACTCCGTGACGGATAGAGACCGAGAGACCACACAAGTTCCACCCCTTGCGCCCCCGTGCGGTTGTCGAGAACATGCCACGCCTGCCACGCCCCGCAACCGTGTGACGGATCGAGACCGCGCTCACGACTCCCCCCCCGCGCACCCCCTGCGATGTCGAGAACATGCCACGCCCGCCATGCCCCGCGACCTTGTGACGGGACCACGCTCACGGACCACCCCCTGCGCACTCGTTCTGGTGTAGAGGAAAAACCACTCCTGCCACGCCGTGCGGCCCCTTTCACGGGTAATGGCCTCGTTCGTGGACTTCTACCTTGCGCACCCCTTCTGGTGTCGAGAAAATGCCACGCTTGCTATGCTTTGAGACATATTGGCGCGTACAGAGGCTGCGCTCACGGACCACCCCCCGCGCACTCTTTTTGAATGCCAGGCCTGCCACGCTTTGTGAGCCCTAAGCGGGATGCCCATCGCACCCCTATAGTGTCGAAGAAGTGCCACGCCCGTCACGTCCTCATAACCCTACGTGTATGTGTCGGGCGGCCTTCGAATCCCACGCGCATGTTTTATGTTGGGTGCGTGTTATGTGATTGACGTGGACTGCGTCGGATGTATGTACATGAGGTGTGTGCGCCTGTAGTCGGACGTGCATGTACGTATGATGCGTGTTTGTGTGTGCATGTGTGTGTGTGTGTGTGTGTGTGTGTGTTTGCGTGTGTTGTGCAATGCATGCGCGCGCATGTTTGATGAGTGTACGAGCGACAAGAAGGAGGAGGAGGAGGAGGAGGAGGAGGAGGAGGAGGAGGAGAAGAAATGTGGGTGAGGAGGAGAAGTTCGGGTGCGACGCGGGTGGAGAAAACAATAACTTCACTTAGCTTGTGGGGACAACCCAAACAACATCAAGTCATTTTGCCTGTTGAAGCTGTCTTGGGGTCCTCTTGAAGCTCAGCGGTGCCGTCTCGGGCGCCCCTAGGACCGTCTGGAAATCATGTTTGGCCATCTTGGCGCGCTCTTGGCTTGAAGCCGCAGGGTCTGCCATGTACCTGGCGGTTCCTGGGGGCCTCGGCACGTTTCGTCAGGGGAACCCCAGGGGCCGCCACGCGCGCGCGAACGAGAAATATCCAGAATCTGTGACCGGAGATTCTGGCACGCCTCTGGCCCGTCGGGCCGGCGAATTTTCCAAGCGGGGCTCTTGCTGGAATACTGTACGGCAGGACCATGGGGCGCTTGTCGTTCAAGGGTGCACTTCCCTTTCAGGGGACTTGGGAAGGATGGCCGTATTGCAGCAAATTTGATGAATCTTAGGTTTGCTCTGGTCCTCCTCCTCCTGCCTCTCCCTCTTCCTGCCTTTCCCTCTCCTCCTGCTCGTCACCCCTCCTGCCCCGTCTTCTTCTCCTCCTCCTCCCCTCCCCCTCCCCTTCCCCCTCCCCCCTCCTCCTCGTCCCCTCCTGCCCCCCTCATTCGATAACGCAGCAAGGCTCCCTTCTCTGCATTGTCATCCTTCCATTCCCTCCCCCTTTCGCTTTCCCTTCCCTCCCCTTCTTCTCCCTTGTCACAGCGCCTCTTCCAGGTGTCCCCTCCGACCGAGGAGGGCGCCCCGCTTCCGAGCGGCCTGGGGGAGGCGATGCAGCTGCTCCCGGCGTGGAAGGTGGTGCTACCATCGGGTGTCAAGGCGTGGCCGATCTTTGAAGAGGCCTCGCGCGAGTCGAAGGGCAAGAAGCCTCTGGAGGACAAAACGGAGGTGGAGCAGCTGCAGGAGGGTGAGGGCAACTGGGTGGAGCTGATGGAGGGCTGGGTGCAGACGAAGATGGTCATCGGCGGACGCGAGATCGAGGCACTCAAGCCGCAGCCGCCGTGGGCCCCGGTGGATCCGCCTAAGAAGACGCAGAAGACCAAGGGTGCCAAGGTGAAGGTCAACGCAACATTCGATGTGGAGTTCTGCGAGAAGCACTCGTGGAGCTTCGAGGACAACAACAACCTAGCGGCCTGCCAGAGCGGTCCGACGCTGCTGACCAGCGCGGAGTCTGCCAAGAGCGGGGTCATCCAGTGGCTGCTCAAGAGCGAGGAGGGCTCCGAGGCCTTTGAGGTCGGGGTGGTACCCGCCCACGAGGTTTGGCGACGAGAGCTGTGCACTTGCTCCGGTCTTGGTCAGGGCCATCCTGGGCCCAGGATTGTATACGCCTCCCTTGCCACGCCTGTGGGGGTGCGTATGCCTCGATTCTTTGCTCAGGATGAGCCTGGACGGTGTCGGTGTATGTGCATGGCTCTCTTCCTCCCGCGAGGTTGAGACGGGCGACTACCTGAACACTCAGGGCAAGTGCGGTCTCAAGAACAACCACTCCGCGGGCGGCGACCAGAAGCCGTCCTGGCCCCTGTACAACAAGTACATTGAGGTCATCTGTGATGTCGAGAGCAATAAGGTTACGTTCAAGGTGGGCGACAAGAAGGACCAGATGCAGGAAGTCAAAATCTTGGATCTGCCGTACAAAGAGGAGGTCAAGCTGGCCGTCACGGGCTGGAACGAGACCAACATCCGTCTCGAGCCATACGAGCGCAGGAAGGTGGGCGAGGACGAGTCGGATTCTGACTCGGACATGGACGTCGAGGACGAGGAGCTTTTTGCCACGGCCTGCGGGAACGCGGTGCAGACGAACACGTGGCACGTGGCGACCCTCTGTGTGGATCTGGAGCAGAGGCGCGAGATGATCCTGTACCTGGACGGGGAGCCGCATCTCCACGCGCGCGACTCGGACCTCCTGGCCCCGAACGGACCCTTCAGCATCAACACCTCCGAGGGCGTGGTGCTCTTCGGGCGCCGGCGCGCGGGCAAGATGGCGGAGAAGGCGTGGCGCCAGGGCGGCCACCTGCGCCAGATGCGCCTGGACTCGCGGCTGCTGGACGTGTCGGAGGTGTGGTCGCTGCAGCTGCCGAAGGCAGGAGAGCCCAGAATCGAATCGACAAGCCAGATTGGCGATCGAAAGGAGTCGTATCTGTGGAAATCGACGACCAAGTCGGGAGAGTTCGGATCGGCGGAAAGCGGCAGGGTAGCGAGGCTTCCGTTGAGAAACCGAAATCTAAATCGGAATTCGAAGTCGAATCGAGTCGCAATCGGAATCGATCGAAATCGAGTCAGAGGAGTCGTAATTAGCCCTGCCGAAGGGCGTGTGGGGCTGCCGCACGTGCAACAGCCGCAACGCGGTAGACGCCCGCGTCTGCTGGCAGTGCCACGCCGCGAGGCAGAAGAGCGCTGTGCGCCCGCCCAGCGACGCGGACCCGCGCCACGAGGGCCTCACTGTGCTGGTGGCGGACTCGTTCCGGGAGCTTGTGCTCGAGTCCAAGGAGCTCGTGGGGTTGCTGAAGGGTGTCCCTGGCCCAAGGTGCCCCCCCAGCCTGTAGGTCAATTCTGGAGCCCCAGGGGCCCTCTGGGCCTCGTGGTTGTGTGCTCTAGAGGCCGTGGGGGCCTCTTTGGGAAGGCGTCCAAATGGGGGATGATGACTAGGGGGTGGATCTCATGGCCAGGGATATGATATCTCCCCGGATCTCATGGCCCCATCTTCTTACCTAAGTACGTCCCCTGGTCCCCACCTGTGCCGCACACGCGCCTCTGGCCATGACTTGCGAACTCACTCTTGGACGCCCCCCCTCTTGGACGTCCCCGAGGAGCACGTGCTCGTGATGGTGCACGCCCCCTGGTGCGAGGCCTGCCAGACGGTGAAGCCACACTTCTACCGGCTGGCCAAGATGCTCAAGGGGTCGGACAACATCCGGATCGCTATGATGAACAACGACGAGAACGACGTGAACAGCCGTCTGTTCCCAGAGCCTTTTATCCCGAACGTGAAGCTGTTCCTGGCTGGAAAGAAGGGGTCGCCGCTCACGTGCAACACAGAGAAGACTTTCGAGGCGTACGTCAAGTTCCTCGAGGACCACACAGACGTGAAGCTTGCAGATTCAGTCGAGGAGTACTACCCCACCTACTGCACCTCCAAAGAGGTTGGCGAGCTGATCGAGGAGCTGCGAGCATCGGTCATGGCGCACGATCTCAAGCTCATGAAGTCGAAGAAATCGCCACACAGCACGGTCGCTGCTTTCCTGCACTCCTACCTGCTGGACTCCGAGTTCTACCGCTCTGGCTCCGCCCTGCAGGCCACGCGCCTGGGCGGCATCGCGGAGCCCCAGCCGTCCTTCTCGCGCCAGGCCACCCCGCCCGCCACACCGACCAGCGGTGGCACTGGCCCTGCGGTGATGGTCCCTTTCGACGTGGGCACGGCGCCGCCGATGCCGCAGGGGCTGATGCGGGAGATATCCGGGGCGTCCAGCGTGCCGCCGGGGGGCCCTCTGTCCCTGCAGCGGTCCTCGTCCAACCCGGTGCCCACGGTCCTGCGCCTCACCCGCGCGCTCTCTAACCCTCTGGAGCAGAACGAGGACCCAGCCAAGCTCGAGGAGGAGCTCAAGCGCAGCCACGCCTCGAAGCTGCTGGACGTGCTGGCGCATGTGGAGCTGAAGAAGACCCTGCCAGAGAACCCGCGCGAGTTCCTCCGCGACTTCTTCCTCAAGGAGGCCTCCCCGCAGTACAGGCACCAGAGCTTCTACAACGCCCGGACGAGCGCATTCTGGCGAAAGCCCCCCGCGGCCCGACGGCTCACCGCAGCGGCGATCGGGGACCTCCGCCTTGACCACCAGCTCGGTTCTCTCCCTCTTCTTCCCACCTCCTCCCCGCCCTCGATCCCTCCCGCCACGAGGGAGGACGGGGAGCGGGCGGGAGGACGGTAGGACCCAGACCCCCAACGTCGTGTTTTTTTTGTTTGACAACGTGGGGCCCCAGAGGTCCAGACCCTTTCCGCAGGACCGGTTTTTTATCCCGGGTTGTTCTTGGCGGTCCCGGTGCTCGGTGAGGGCCCCCCAGGCGCCGAAAATTGCCAAACACCTCCCGTTGTGTTTTTATCACGACGCGAGGGGGTCTAGGTGAGCAATGATGGGGCTTCCGGAGCGTGACGGGGGCCCCCCAAGGTGAGGATCCTGCGGAGCGTGCAGCGGTGGGTGCGCAAGGAGCTCGGCCGTCGCTACGGCAAGATCGCCGGCCCGCGGCCGCCGTGGGCGACGGCGATGGTCACACGGAGCCCACATGCATGCATGCATGCATGCATGCATGCATACATGCATGTCTGTCTGTCTGTCTGTCTGTCTGTCTGTCTGTATGTATGTATGTATGGATGTATGTATGTATTGATGTTATGTATGTGTGATATGTATGCATGCATGCATGCATGCATCTACGTACGTATCTATGTATGCATTCATGCATGCATGTATGTACGCATACATGTATGTATGTATGTATGTATGTATGTATGTATGTATGTATGTATGCATGTGTGTTTATTTGTATGTACGTGTATGTATGTATGCATGCGTGCATGCATGCATATATGCATGTATGTATGTATGTATGCATGTATGCATGCATACATGCATGCATGTATGTATGTATGTATGTATGTATATACGTACGTATGTATGTATGTATGCATGCATGTATGCATGCATGTATGTATGTATGAATGCATGCATGCATGCATGTATGCATGCATGCATGCATGCATGTATGTATGTATGTATGTATGCATGCATGTATTTATGTATGCATGTATGTATGCATGCATGTATGCATGCATGCATGTATGCATGTAAACGGGTAACCTTAACCATACATAGAAAGTGGTTAACCATACATAAAACATACATAATACACTACACGAATACACTACACTAATACACTACACTAATACACTACACTAATACACTACACTAATGCACTATGCTAGTACACTACGATAATACACTTCGTTAAGACACTACACTAATACACTACGTTAATACACTACACTAATACACTACGCTAGTACACTACACAAATACACTGCGCTAATACACTACACTAATACACTACACTAATACACTCCACTACTACACTACACTAATACACTACACTAATACACTACACTAAAACACTACACTAATATACTACACTAATACACTACACTAATACACTACACTAATACACTACACTAATACACTACACTAATACACTACACTAATACACTACACTAATACACTACACGAATACACTACACTAATACACTACACTAATACACTACACTAATACAATACACTAATACAATACACTAATACAATACACTAATACAATACACTAATACAATACACTAATACAACACGCTGGTAGAATACGCTAAGAGAATACGCTGATTAACTACGCGAATGCACTACGCGAGTGCACTACACGAATGCACTGCACGAATACGCTACACTAGTACTCTATACGAATACTCTATACTAATACTCTATACTAATACTCTATACTAACACTCTATACTAATACTCTATACTAATACGCTATACTAATACTCTATACTAATACTCTATACTAACACTCTATACGAATACTCTATGCTAATACTCTATACTAATACTCTATACTAATACTCTATACGAATACTCTATTCGAATACTCTATACTAATACTCTATAGTAATACTCTATACGAATACTCTATACGAATACTCTATATACGAATACTCTATACGAACACTCTATACTAATACTCAATACGCTAATACCCTACGTTGATACTCTGTACTAATACTCCATACGCTAATACACTACGCTAATATACTACGCGAGTACACTACGCTAATACACTTCGTTAAGACACTACACTAATACACTACGCTAATACACTACACGATTACGCTATGCTAATGCGCTAAACTAATACGCTACGCTAATACTCTATGCGAATATACTACACTAATTCGCTACACTAGTACGCTACACCAATACGCTAAACTAGTACGATACGCTAATAAACTATGCTAATGCACTATGATAATACACTATGCTAATACACTATGCTAATACACTACGCTAATACACTATGCTAATACACTATGCGAACACACTATGCGAATACATTATAATTATACAATATATGAATACTCTATACGAATACTCTATACTGACACTCTATAATAACACTCTATACTATTACTCTATACTATTACTCTATACGAATACTCTATACGAGGGCTCTCTGAAACCCTCTTGGAACCATCTTGGGCCATCTTGGACGCCCCAGCCCCTCGCGACCCTCCCCCCCCCTCCCGTCCAGGTCTCCCGTCCAGGTCCAGGGGAGGGGTAAAGGGCGATGGGTAACCCTTCCCCCCGAAGGGGAAGAGGGAGAGGCGGGAAGGAGACGCGCTAAACCGCGCACGCCCTGAGAGCAGGTGGGGCTCCGCTGCAATTTTGGCTTCGGCTGCTCTGCAGCAGAATCTTGTTGTCGGCGGCAGACCGTGCGTCATGGGGCTGCTTCAGCGAATTCTGAAGTTGCGCATATGCCCTAAGGCGCTGTTGGACAACATATCAGAATTTCACCCCCTCAAAGACCTCTGCGCTTACGGGAAGGAGCAAGGTTGGAGCGCGCGACAGGTCGCAGGGACCTTCTTGGTGGGCCGCGGGGTGCGCGGCCGCGAGGGCGTCAAAGAGGTGTTCGCTTTCGTTAAGCAGGCCGAGAAGGTAGATTGGTCCAACCCAGCCTTCGTTGCAGAGTTCTACACAACTTTCGACGAAAAGTGGAAGCAGGAGGTGAAGCGGACCGGCCAGGTCAGCGCGCTCGCCCACCAGGATTGCGGCTACCACGCGGGCCTCTCTGGTCGCAACTTTGTAGAAACGCTGGCAGATGAGGCCGCGGTTGAGCGGCTCTTCGGCGAGAACGGCGCCGCTGTGCGGCTGGCGCCTTTGTTCCTGAACCCAGGGGAGTTCGACGCTGACAGGGTCGTGAAGTTCTACGCAGAGCTCGTCCGCGAGCCCATCGCGCTCTCAGCAGGCAACTACCACGTGCAGGACGAAGGCGCCAAGATCCTCGGCAAAGCAACGCCGGCGAGCAGGCGTCGCGAGGGCAGCGGCGGCGGCGGCAAGAAGACGCCGACGACGTCGGCGGAATCGTACAACGCGATGGATTTCACCAGGGCCTTCAGTAATGTTCTTACGGAGGTGTGGGGCGCTCCAGAGGTCAAGTTCTCCGTTGCGCTGTGGGAGCTGATGATTGCCTGCCAGCGCAAGACAGAGGACGTTCGGAATCTCATGGCGGAGTTCGGCTTGGATATGAACACAGCCAACGCCATGCTGGGCAACGGGGGCGGGCTTAACTGGACCACCATCCTGATCTTGTTGTGCGAGGTCCGCCAGGAGATAGGGAAAAACATGGCCGCTTTCGAAGAGCTCCTGACGTGGTTGGAGAATCATCCGGAGCGCATGGGCGACGTGGACAGCACCGTGCGAGACGTCGTCGAGGTCGGGGCGGTTGCGAAGGAGTGCTACTGCCAGCGCGTCTGCGCCGCGGTCCGGGGCTGGATGAACGAGGAGCTGCGGCAGGGCGGCCCGCCGCAGGCAAAGCGGCTCAGACTGTTGCAGCGCCCCTCCGGGGCGACGCACCAGGCCCGGTAGTTCTTGAGAGTCTCAGTGGATGACGATCCAAATCCAACAACATTGCGCTAATTGTTGCAACCGTATTCTGGACGCTTCGCGCATCCCCACCAGCCCGTCCAGAAATGAGCCCCAGGGGAGGCTGATTTTGCTTCAGAGACTCTCAAAGACAACCGGGGCGAGGCCAGCGAGCCCGGAGATCCGGCGCCGGCGGGGCGCCACCGCGGCCCTCGCCGTCGCCCACGATCTCGCCGCCGCTGGCAAGGCTTCGCACGCTTTCGAGGTCCACAAGGAGATGCTGGCTCGGGGGCAGCGGCCGCTGGTCCAGGATGTCTTGCGCGGGCTCCTTCTCCGGCGGTCTCGTCGCGCCAGAGGCGGTCATCGACGGCTGACGTGGTCGGCAGCGTTCCAGACGTACGTCGACAGACTCAGAGACATTGAAGGTGGACCCGTGTGCATCCTGCACTGTTCCTTGCAGCCAGTCATAACGTCCTTCCTTCTCCTGTTGCCGCCGTTCTTCGAGGCTCTAGTTCAGGCGGGGGCGTCCACCTGGCCGTGCATCGTGGCAAACGCAGACTGCGCATTCCGCATTCAGTGGCTTGGCTACGTCTTCGGGGTCATCTACGTCGTCGTGCACCGGCTTATTCAGGGGCGCTGGAGAAAGACACCCTGGCCACTGGCCATCGCTGTTCATCCGCGCGAGGATGCGTATATTTACAGGCGCGGTTTCCATGCAGTCCAGGCCGAGATGCGCCGTCGAGAGCTGCCCGCCATACGCCAGATGGGGCTCGACCACTTTCCAGGGTTGCAGGAGGAGTTCCTGCAGAGTAATCCCGCTGGCCGCGTCAGTCACGGGCTGGGGCACATGCTCAAAAACCTTCGGCACAACCAGGCCGGCCGTCGCAGGCTGGAACGAGGAAGGAACTCGCGGCCCCGCCGCCCCGCCCACACTATGCTAATACACTATGCTGATACACTATGATAATACACTATGATAATGCACTACGCTACTACACTATGCTAATACACTATGCTGATACACTATGCTAATACACTACGCTAGTACACTACGCTAATACACTACACTAATACGCTACACTAATACGCTACACTAATACGCTACGCTAATACACTAAACATTGTATTGATACATGATTCTAAGAATCCCTGTATTGAGAATGCGTTCGTACGCGCTATTACATGAGTTTCTCCCCGGCGCAGGGGGCGGCGGTGCGCTTCCTCGTTCCGCGCAGGCGTGGGGCGCCAGGGTTGCGGGGCAGGTCAATTGCAGCTGCCGTCGCTTATGTGCACGAGAGTTCCACCTTGCCGACCCGCGCGATGTTCCATCTGCTTTGGTGCACGTTGGAAGCGCGCGCGCAGCGCGTGTGGGGCGACGGCAGGTGGATGTCATACTTCCGACGCACCTACCTGAGATCGACGGCGGTCAACGAGGATTTTTTTGGCGTGATCTCGCCGACAACGGCGACGTGGCATTTTGGCGCGACTGCGGGCCACGTGCGCGGCCACGGGCCGAGCCAGCAGCCCCCCGAGGCCGGCCACTCCCACCTGAAGCGGGGCATCAAGTCTGTCGGGCGCAAGGCCGGCAT